CCGCTCGGGGGCGGCGAACAACCACGTTGAAGAAGGAAAGCGCCGTTCTTTACAGAAGGGCGAGCCGGCGGGAGTCGCTGCTCCAGATTTAAACGCATCGTTTGGCTCCTGGAGCCACCGCGCGGGCGGAGCAAGAGGTGAAGCGAGAGGGAGGCACGAGGACCGCGGTCCTGGGCAAAGGGCAGGACGCGGGTCGGAGCCGAGCGGCAGCGAACGAGCGCGGGACCGTTTGTGGGGATCGGGTTAACGGAGAAGCGGGAAGGACGGGCTGGAACGGGGGCTCGGAGCACGGTCCTCCTTTCTCCGGTCTCGTGCGGGGCTGGTCTCGGCAGCAGGCGTGGCCCGGCGCTCCTGGGGCAGACGCTGCCGAAGGCCTGGCTAACTTGTACTCTGCGCCTTGTTTCCCCTGCGAACGATCGTGGCCTGGCACAGCCGGACCAGCCTTTTTGGCAGATGTGCCACAAATTAAACCTCCCAGAGTACTGCTCCGCTCCCTTTCCTCACCCCACCTGCTGCTCTGTTTTCTGCTCCCCCCCGTCTGTCACGTGCCACTTGTTGGCCCCCTATGACCTAGGGCTTCTCCCTTAGTAGCAGGTGTTTGTGTCCTCTTAGAAGAATAATTAGAATAATGATTCTGCAGGATATGGCAAGCTTTAGATGTTTGCATTTGGTTTTTAGGAGTGAGTGGAACCTGGGGTATAATCCGTACGAGGACTCTTCGCCGGCGATTAGAAGAGCTACGGAGGGCCTAGCTCGTAGCAGCGTGCAGAACATACCCGTGCTTCTGAGCACGCTGAGGAAGAAAGCAGCGTTTATATTCACGCTCTGTCACGGCGTGGTTAGACGGTGCTGCGTGCCAGCAGGCAGGGTACCAGAGCAGAAGCATTGAGATCTTCCCTGGAGTTCTTGGTTTGCTTCTGAGTCTGGAATGAGAACGGGTTAAAGTTAATAGAGATCTTCTTCTGTCAGTGCCCATAAGAAGTCCGTGGTACTTTCTACCTGAGGATTTTGATGTGTTCACAGTTCACTTTGCATGGCTGCACATGTTGCAAGGTGTGTGATCTCCCACTTCCACAGGTGAATAAGCAGACACTAAAATGAAGCGGCCAGCTTTGAATTGTGTTACTTACAAGTTACATTACTAGAAGAAAGTTAAACTGGCTGTCTGTAAAGTCTGTATCTGCAACTGTCTGTCCAGAAAGAAAAATACAGGCAGCACACACATCTGGGGAATGGGAGTGTTGATCGTACCCAGGGCCTCGTGTTTGGAACCTGCAGTGTAAACACTTCAAGGGAAGCTTTTCAAAACTCTTGAAATTGAGAGAGAACCTAGAAACGTGTCTTCAGCTAGGGGGAGCTTCAGAAAATGTGAGAGTCTGTGTAACCTGGTCCAAGTCTAGGTTGAGTCGCTTGAAGTGATTTGCCCGTGGTTACTTACCCAGGTAGCCTATGGCATCTCTGGGAACGAAATTTAGTCCAAGCAGACCTGACTTGTACCTTACCCTCTAGACCAAGACCGTGATTCTTCACGTTGCTGCTCGGGTTGTTTACACTTCGGTGCAGAGGAAATGTGAACTTGGCTAAAATCATGTTTGGCCAGTTCTTGGGGTGGGGGGTTCTTAAGGGGTTTTTTTCCATTGACATCTCTTTCTTTGTCAAATCTTTTGTTTCAAGCCTCTTTCCTGGCTAGTTGCTTGGAAAGTCATAAGCCTTAGAAAAAGGCTCTGAAAATCAATTAAATGTTGTATTTAGGTTTGTATTATAGTGTCCAGTTCTGTGCTGTATTGCAGCCCCCATCTGTATTTTTTTCTAATTTCAGGGATAACATTTTAGTTTCTATTGTACAGTCAGTTAACTCAGACACTGTATGCTGTGAAATCCATATCCAGGTCTTCAAGCTTGAGCTCAGATGATAGATGCAAGTTAAATTATAAAAGAACAAATTTTGAAAATAAATTCATAACATGAAAGATCTTGTGATTTTTGGATTTATATACTAATTATCATGTGACTAGTCCAATGTTATCCATTTGTATGGCTCTAGTAAGAAATTAAAAGGTTTCTAAGTAATTCTGAAAATGGAATTTAAGTCTAAAGTTACTCTTTTTTTTGAAAATATTCTCCTTGCCTACTAAACTAACTTGCTGAATGAAATAAGCTGGTGAAAATGTCATGCTATCTAATGACTATGATTATTTGTTTTGAAATATATAAAAAATCATAGTAATATTTAGCAGTGACAGCTTTTAAAAATGTTTCCTTAATTTTCCCACTCATATTAGTGAAGCTAACTATGTCCATTTTACATTGAGTGGAGAGTGGGTAGAAGTAGGAAATCAAATTTATTAGATGAGAGGAAAAATATTTATGTAATAGTGTTATGGTCCTTTTAAAGATTTTAGTTCAACTTGCTCTTGAAGTATAAATGTATAAAACCATTAATGCAGATGTAGTCCTGCATATAGTCTCTTTTACGTTGGAAACAAAAAATACTTCACTGTTTGCAGATCACTTTGGGAATAGTTTAACTTGAACTCTGATGGATGTGTTAAGCTGAATCTAATGCCTTCTACTGAACTATGAGGGGAACTTTATGCTGTATAATAAGAAAATCACAGGCTTGTTAGTCCATAGCAGGGTGCATACCTGCTGGAGCAGGCAGGAAGGCTAGATAAAGAAGTACAACATTTTACCGTAATGAAATAGAAGATGAAGGTGCAGCATGTCACTTTTTGGAAAACGCCGTTTGTTGGTGGTTTTTTGGTACCACGTGGGTCACAGACTGCATGGGTTAATTAAATTTGCTCTGATATAACTGTTCATTAATCTTGTGGAATTTGCATTTGTGCATCAGCAAACAAAACTTGACCCTTAATATTTTTCTTAGGAGTAGCTGTTACCTTTTTTTTGCCTTTGAAGCTTGGGGTTATTGTATCAAGCCATAAGCATAACTGATTTTCATGGTTTTTTAACCGATGGTTGCAGTGTAGCCCAGAGGCCCATCAATTGCTTTAACAGATCTGTTGTCTCATGCTGTGATTGGCAACAGGTAGGGAGAAACTGAGGATGAATTACTGAGTATATTATGATGGTAGGGTTTACTGCATATTTATCTTTATTCTGCTGGGGCTGACCTTGGTTCGCTAGATGAAATTAATTATTTTATAATTTGATACAGTGAGAATATTTTGAAATAAGTATTGGTATCAAAGTGTCTTGTGTTTATTTTCTATTAAATCCAGTTTTGCTACAGATGGTTAATGGCACGTACAGTGTCTGGTAATCTGCAAATATTCTGGCATTGTGAAATCCAAATATATCCTTTTCTTACTTACCTGACTTTAATCAGTATAGAGAGATAGTTAGCCATGGTAGTGTGAAGTTGTGTGTGGATGCACCTTATAGATGTGGGTGAGCAAACGTTTTTAGCTGTGGGGTGGAATGACCCACCCTGGGTTGGAGGTGGCCAGGTGGGCACTAGGACCCTGCCACAGCCAGTCTTCATCCCTGCAGTGGCGCGGGGAGTGGCCACAGGCCAGATCCAGCCCAGGGGCCACAGATTGCTGACCACTGCCAGAAAGTGATTTACAGGTGCATGAGCTTTCAAGAGTAAGAGCTCACTTCATCAGGTGCTGTAGAAGGACACAGTTTGCTCTGTGCGTGTCCTTTCAAGCCATCTGCTGAAATGAACTCTTGCTTATGAAAGCTTACACATCTCTTAATCGAGTAGACCACTGATTCTCAACCACGGTGCTATGGCACCCTGGGATGCCGTTAGATCCTTGCAAGGGTGCCATGGAGTACCATGCAATGTTAGCACTGCTAGGGTTGCAAACATGATGATAAACTCAGATTTCAAATAGGAAGCATGGTGTTAAAAACATTGTGACCTGTTGTAGTCTGTCTTTGCAACAGAAGAATTGCTCTATTACCTTCTTGCAGTCAAAATTGAGGGAAAACTAAGAACTGACATTTTCCAAGGAGTGCCTCGAGTCTAAGAAGGTTGGGAACCAGCAAGTTAGACTGTAAGGTGCGTGTCCACACTGCCTGTAGTCGGTATGGCTGGTTAGTGTATGATATTCCAGACCAATCACAGAATTATAGAAGCTGAATTATTGGTCTGTATATTTGCCCTATCCCAGTCTCTCTGCCTGGCTTCCGTGTACCATAGCTAACTACAAATCTGGTAAGGTAGCATAAACAGTTGGTTCCAGTGTAAATCTGTAAATGCATATTTGTATAAAGCAGCATTAAATGCTTTGCAGCAATAAGACAAGCAAGCTAAAACATTCATGCTGATTTTTACAGTATTGATCTGGGTATTTTAATTCATGTCTGTTTTATCCTTGAACCTTAAAAGGAGAGCTTTGATCCTCACACATGGAAACTTTCATATTTATAAATGGAATGGAGACATGTTGGTCTGACTCTTCAAGTAGGGGGAAGGTCTTAGGGGCTCTTTGTGACTGCCTGTTTGAAAAGCTCCTGAGTGTGCTGGTACCCACATTACTGTTTTAAATAATTCACTTTTTCCTCCTGTTGTTGCAAGATGGAAGAAAAAAGGAAAAGCATTTTTGTCAGAGCGCTTTCCTTCCCATTCTCGATCCATTTCCCTCATGATGAGGATTCTTTGTTTTTCTTCTGGTCTGGAGGTTTTTGCTGCAGTCTGTAATGATGACCCTCCCTCCACATGTTCTCCTGCTCCAATGCCCTCGGTACTGGGCGCATCTACACGAGACGCTCGCTGTGCAGTAGCTGAATAATACTGTGCAGTAGCATGTCAGCACCAACACTACTAATACGCTACCGCGTAGTATTATTAGGCTACTGCACAGTAGCATTGCTATAAAGGCAGTTACTGTGCATTTATTTAGTACTTGTATAATCAAGTACTAAATAACTGAGCAGTAACTGCTGGACAGTAGTATTTCATGTAGACACTCCTACTGTTCTCAACCTTTTTAGACTCTCGTACCCCAGAATTGCTGCCCCCC